TTTGCTATTGATAGATATTTAAAGTGCCCAGATTCATAGATACTCATCTCTGAAATGTTTCTCCCAAATTTCAAGCACTGTATACTAATAAACACTGTTTCCTAAAAGAAAATAACCTAAATTAGTTCTTCTTTAGGCACTCTTCTGTTTGTGAAGTTAAAGAAGCTGTCAGCAAAACAAGGGTCATTATTCCCATCTTATGAGTGAGAAAAGCACAGCAGGAGTTGGGGTAATGATTTGCCCAAAGCCCTAAGCAGGTTAATGTTTTCAGGCCACTGTTTTATCCTCTGGGCTCCCCTGCCTTACACTTACCAAGCACATCTTGTTTATAGTAAAGAAATTAAACTGAAATAATACACCTATCAGTATTATATTATTAACACCTTTCTTCTTCTGTGCTTTGTAGATGAGGACAGAGAGACAGATGTGTTTACAATGTTCAATCTGTTGAACCTGAAAATAAAAGTGTGGGCTGCTTAACCTAAACACAGTCATCAGCTTATGGAGTTGCCACTGTATTCAGTGTCTGCCATGCAGCACTAGAAAAGATTTTGTAAAGCAAACTTCTGCTGAATGTCCTCATAAATATTAGAATATTCTTGATATGCTACACCGAAAACATTCAATCTGAGCTGCAAGCAACTAGTGTTGCATATCAATTTTTGGAAAATGCTGGTATTTGTATCCAGAGATCCTACCAGCAATACAAAGTGGCAAGATACTGAAACTGGCAATACAATGCCTTACACGATTATTTTGGGTTGAAGTATCCCATTGTACATAAATTCACATAATGAAGTTCAGTATAAAGCAAACTAACAATGAACTTGGCAAAGGGAAACAGATCAGCAGCTGCACTGAGAATTCAATGGAGAAAACTATTTTAATGCTCTATGTGTACATAAAATTGTCTTTGAAACTGAAATGCAAATAATATACATTAAAATTAAAATTTCTTAAAAGAAAATTCAGGCTTGCTTAAAATATAAACCAATTCCAGAATCAAGGTTTTTGGAGAGCTGTGATTAGCTGATGAGAGGTGTTTTAGATAGATGATATAGTAGCTGGCACTACATCATTATTGCCTTGCTTTCTTTTTTCCCCACACTGGCTGTTATGGTTCATATATACAACTATGACTACACTTTTTATAAAGTCTTTTGGAGTTACATTAAGAAGTCAGCAAATGACACAAAACTTGTCTTCCTCCATGGGAGGAGGAAAAATGGAGTGTATTATGCAAATACCAAGCAATGCAGGCATTACTCAACACAAACAATCCTAAACAGTATAATTTAAAACCACAAATGCAGTCATTGATTTTTAATAACTGCATTAAAGGTCTCCATTCTAAGTAATTACATTTTGTAGGAAATATCTTTAAATGACGTTGTGCCTATTTAAAAGGAATTAGGAGAATATTATACAGACAAGGTGAGGAAAATATATTTTGCTGTGACCATTTTTTCAAATACCTTCCCTCCCCAGTATTTAAAACAGACATTACTAAAATCGCCACAAAGAACACCAATTAAGAGGGGACTTTGGTTTGTTTGTATTTTAAAAACAAATATATTGAGATTTTTTTTCCTTTTCTTTTAGGGTGAATAATTGGCCAAACTCTCTCATCTTTTTTACACTTCCATAAAAACACATCCACCTACTGCCTGCTCTGAGCCCAGGTGGGAGAAAAGCAGAGGGTTTTCAGAAGAGGGAGATGAGCTCATGTCCCCAATATTCACATGCTAAAGGAAAAGACTGGGTTTGGACCTGGGGAAACTGCTGTCAGGGTCTGCCTATAGATGTAAACTTAATTCATGGATCAAGCAGCTGTTAGGTGAGATACAGCAGCCAATGATGATGCCATCTAACCAGACCTCATCTCTGTGGTGAAGCTGCCCCAACGCCTGGGCCAGTACAAAGGCTCCCAAAGGTGTCCTGTCTCCTCCCCAAAATGACTGATTTGTCCTGTGGAAGAGCTGCCTTTTAACTGAACCAGCAATCCTTCAGATCATGTGGATATTTCAGCAGTTCCTAGGTATTGCTGAAGATGGCAAAGCCTGACTTGTTCAAGAGAACAACACTGGAGGCAGGCCAAGAGAGGAGGGGGAAGTCCCTCCCAAAATGGGAGCTACACGGTTGGAAGGGAAAACCTCTTTGGAAGATCAAATGTACACCCCCACAAATTTTCATGTCAGTTTTGAACCCTGCTTGCTCTGCCTCAGCATTTGAATAAGGCTGAAATTGTGGACTGAGATCCATCACTGGCCCTGCAGCACTGCCAAGCCCAACACTTGTGCTCTTTGCCACAGGACAGGAGGAAGTGGAGGAGCCTATGAACCTTCTGACAACATCAAAACCTGCCTTGAATAACACAACCCCGGCTTTATAGCAGGTGTTCAGTGCTGCCTCCAAAGTGGCTCTGGAATAAAAAGTACTTTATGGACCTTTTCTAGAAAAAAAGAAAAAAAGCAAAGGAAAAAAAGAGGAAAAAAGAGAACACTAGATGAAAAAAAAATCAACCAAAAAATTTAAAAAATATGAATGAGGGAAATGCCCCACAATGATATCTGCTTTTGTTTTGCACATCTTCAAGCTCTACAAAAACCACACAGCAAATAACTACTTGGCAGTCCACTGTCAACACTTGCCCACTGATATGCAGAGTGACTTCCACCTGTACCAGTTACCACTAATCACTTCCAAAAGCTGCCAGCCCACACTGCTAGCCCACAGCCTGCATCTGACCTCTTAGATTTGTACTCCAATACACTCTACATCTCAAACTTTTAATTAAAAGGAGAAGAATAAAAAGAAGTTCATCCAAATCAATTCAAATGTACCGTTTCTCCCAATTACTGTGAATGCAGAGGTCATCATCATGTTGCATCATTACACTGAGGAATAATCTAGCATGAAGTCCTATAAATTAGCTTAAATAGCTTGTGTGTTTTCATCCATAACAGCATATTTCATAAAGATATAGCACTGCTTTTCTGTGTACAAGGAACTAAATTGAACAGGCACATTACATCTATTTTTTAAGAACTTTAATGAGAAAAGCCTGATAAGAACCTTCCCCCACTGCATATCTACTAAATTTAAACAGAAGAAAAAAGAGATCTGATTTTCTGGCTGCACATTAGACTCTGATGCTTTAGACTGCCTTTTTTTTTTTTTTTTTTTTTTTTTTTTTTTTTTTTTTTTTTTGAGGAATGCACCACATTCCTGGCACTTCTATTCAAAACAAGCTTGTGTTTTAAAGAAAAGGGTTCAGTATTTACAGTGGCATATGTAAGAAAAGCACTGACAGAAAAATCTGATCTATAATTACAACTCAATCTAAGGAATCATCCATTTTAAGAGAAATGGTAATTGCATAAAAAGTACAACCCAATCCCTGTATTTGAATCAAGGCATGCTAGTTTAGGACACTATATATTAAACCTCAAATACCCTACCTACGTTTATGTCCTGACAGTGGATGACCTTCCAAAAAAAAACCAGCACAATGCAACTACATCTATAAAAAATAAGAACTCTTACAGAACCTATGTTGCATGCTGAATTCTTTACAAAAAAAACCCCAATAAAATAAAATCAGAGAGAGCTCCATCAGTTTTGTTTTGGAACACTGTGAGTACGTACGTAATGACTTTCCCCTCTTGAAACATTTCTGCTTCATTCTTATGCATAGACTTGAAGGGTCATTTATGTGTTTGGTTTGTTGCATCAATTCAGAGGATAGAGTTACTGTAAAAATTTACATTACTGCAGGCTTGTAGTGATGAAGCAGGCAAGCATGAGGAAAAAAGCTTTTATTGCTTTTATTTTAGATTTGATGGAAATGTGTAGTCATTTAGTATGACAACAGCCATCATGAAATTTGATTTATTTATTGATTAAATTATGTTTTATTTAAGCAGAATTTTTGAAAGCATTGAAATTTCAACATAAAGCACAAATTTGACCTATCCATCCAGATGGTGTTGCTCTTGAATTGATCATGTATTTCAATTTGCTGCACCCACTTTAGTTTATAGTTGTGACATTTGCAGTGCACCAAGGACACTTACTGAAACTCAAACTTAATTTGAGTAAAACGCTACTCTATATACTACTCTCCCCACCAAACTCTTTTATTAAAAATAGGCCAAAAGTTTTCATTTCTCCTAGAATGCATAAATTTCTTGTAACAGAGATGGCCTTTCATTTAAAATGGATTTATAGAATTCTTCACTAAATAAATATATTTTTGAACTTTGATGGCTTAGGTTTTATTGCAACTTGCTACTCTGTTGAAGGTCTTGGAATCACAGATAATAAGGTGAAGGACGGATTTTTAAGAACTAAGCAGTGCTAGCTTTCAGCTAAGGGTGCAGCTCACTGGCAGCCCAACTGGACCTCTGAGCTTTTCCCCCACTCCTGCCAACTGCTTTTTTCTCTGTCTTTTTGAGGTACAGGCTGAGTTAATTTTGGGCTGGAAGAGTTCCCTGAACCTGCACGCAGGTGCAAGAAAAGAGGACAGCACTGTGCAGGGACAGATTTAGACGGCTGAAAACACTATGGGTCACCTTGGTTTGAAATGCACCAAGTGTTTCTAATAACTAATGCAAGTTTCAAACCCCTAAATTCCCAGACATGTCACTGTTTCTTATATGCAACACTACTCTCATTCATCTGATTTTTCTTGATTTATTTCTCACTTCGGTTATTCCAAAGGACCCAAAAGCAGAAAAAGACTTAGTCCCCAAATCAAATTTAAATGTGCATTCAGGGCTCCTGTTATTGAATTTTTCAAGTTTTTAATCTTTTTATTGAATTATTCAAAGCAGTGAAGGTATTTCAGGTTTCAACAGACTTTCTAAACATTTTTTTTTGTCTCAGTAAAACTACTGTATTACTAAAGATACCAAACCAGGTTATAAGATATTGAAGACTGCAAATATTTGCCTGCAATATGAATTATAAAGAACAGGAATTCAAATAATTGTCAATACCTGTGGTCAAAGGCAGATGAGTGACAGAAGTTAGACAGGTGAGAGTGAACCAGGTTGATGCTAATGTTGCTCCAGATAAAAGTAGCAGCAGTATGAACTTCAGCATGCCCCTGATAAAATCTGCAAATCTAAAATAAAAACACACATCAGAGCAGTACAAACACCGATTTTCATATTATTTAAATGTGATGCTTGACAATTAATTCCGTACATCCTCATTAAACATTTTGGAGACTATAAAAACAATTTAAAAGTAATTTCTCATTTTCAGAAATAGAAAAAAGGCATTTTTATAGAATGATGGTATTTCTAGCTGTCAAGGTGAAGAGCCATGGATTTTTTAGCTGTGACAAAGTAACAATCAAACCAGAACAATTCTCAAGCAATTCTCAAGGCATCACATGAAAACACTGGAGGAGAGTTATTTTTTCCTTCTGCATTTGTTGGACACAATATCTCACCACTACTTCCATCACTGTTTTGTCACCATTTGCCAGTCTCCCTTGGCAGACACAGAGCTCCATCAGCATATGAGGAGGCTGCCGCCTTTCATTCAAGACATAGTTAAGTGTCAAGATTCATTCCTGTGGGAAATGGAAAATCTCCAAAAAAGTCCAAAGAATCCCTATTTGAAGATGACAAGGAACAGCTTCTGAACCCTTGGATGCATTGGTGATGAAGTTTGTGGTGGCTTAGGCAAGGAAGGAGCTCCTTACACAGGGGATCACTCTGCCAGTGGCTGGTTTGGGTTGAAAAGTTCCAGAAACCACAAGTTCAGTGCTGCTCCTCTTCTACACAGACCCTGCTGACAGACTGGGGGAGGAGAAGTCCTTGGGCAGTCTGGCTCTTATACAGAGGGAATTATGATATTTACACCACCTGATGGTACAATTGCTTTTTCCATCTTTTCCTTTTTCTTCCAAGGAGACAGAATGAGCAGCACTCATGTGACATAATTATCCGTGCAACTGCTCTTTTCAAAGGGGATGTTAACCTAACTACTGGAAAAGATATATTAGAAAAGGCAATGTTATTTCTTCATGAGTAATTTTCTATAGGAGATGTGCTTTTGGGATGGGCAGGTTAGGTATGTATTTCTAAAGCATATCTTCTGCTCTCTTGACAGGCTCCTGCCTTGATCAGGCTAATGGCAGCATAATCCACCCAGGTTGCTCCATGATGAAATTTGTCTGTCTACCAGCTGACTGCCTTCTCTACCCTAACAAAGATCACCCTATAAGCAGATACCTTATAGCTTACTTGATAAAACAGGAAATGCTGCCAAAATTTTGAGAACTTCCAAATATAGTGTAACAGACGTAGGAGTAATGCACTCAAACACTCTCTGCTCCCCAAACCAACTTCTTCCCTTGTATTTTGATTCTCCCCATGCCTGAATTCCACATTGAATTTAGCAGTGAGTAATTCAATAAGCAGCAGTGGGAGATCAATGCTGCATATAATCTGAGCAGTTTATGACTGCAGTGTTCAAGTGGCTTATGCATTCATCTCCAATAGCCAGAGGTCAGCTGCTACTGGTGGATTTTTTTTCTGACAATCCAATCAAGGAGTCAGGATCACCTCACTGGTTTGCCAGAGAGTTTCTTTAATTATTCTTTGGGATCACTAGGGTCAAAATCAGCAATTTTAAAAGCTTTGCAGAAGCATCTCAAAGTGTAAACTTCCAGCTTATTCCACAGAGACTCCCACTTTGCCTGCTGGCAGACAACATCTCTGTCCTTACAGGCAAGGGCAGTGACGTAGGTCCTGTCTAATGAAACAAGGTGAGAAATATCAGCCTTCTGGGAGGGACACTCACAGACTGCAGGTCTGGGGTGATCTCTAAAGGATCCTTGGTCTCTATCCCACCACCAAGGACATGTGGGGATGGGAGGCTGATATGCATCTAAACCATTCATGACAGCTAAGTGGAGAAAATACCTCCTTTACCAAGCAGGTGCCACTCTTCCTGACACAAGGATCCCAGTTTGGGTAGCAGCATGCTCCAAAGAGCTCTCAGGTATCACAGAACTACAAAAGGGTCAAATGTATCCCAATGCAAAGGTTTATTTAGCTATTGGATTCAGCCAGCAATAGAAATAATAGAAAAAAAAATGACATAATAACCTAACCTGAACTTGGTAATTGAAGGACTTCTGTTTCTTGTCTGGTTACAGGAGAATAAAGAAGACTGTAAATCTAGTCTACTTTTCATAATACTTGCTTCAATCAAAAAATATGAGAAATTACTTTTATCTTCAGACTCTGTACCTGATTTCAAACCTTTGTTCTGTATAAATCCTTCTACATCATCTAGCATGTAAGGGGTTTCCTGCAACTGCTAAAAAAGTAGGCACAACAGGACAAAAGGTGTATACTCTGCCAGACACACACCCCTGAGCCTACTGCTGCTAACAGTCTCCAGCCTCCCAGCAGATCCAGCCCTAGGCTGTATCCTACAGTTAAAATCACAAACCTGCACTGCTGACAACCCTGTTTGTTGCTAAGGAAATTATCACCATGCCATAAAGTTTCAGCATTTTGACTACACTGCAGGTTAGAAGCAGGAACTGAAACTGAGCTGCAGAGGACAAAACCTCAGAAATATCTATGATCCTTGGCAAATGTGGGGGGGAAAAAAATTTAAAAATCTGAGAAAAGGGAATAGATTTATGTTTCCATGCAATTATAGGAATGCTGCTCTTTGACACTGCTTTTCTTCAAACTAGTAGCATTTGAAAGCTGCCAGCAAAGGGTACAGCACCTACCAGCTGCCCAAAATAGGCCAGGCTTTTCAATGATAAAAATGCATCAAACACATTAGCTAAACATGTAAGTTCATGGCTATCAGGACAGCAGTGGGTGGAGAGTAGAAGGATTTATGTATAATGCTGAGAGAAACTTGAAGCATTTTGAAAACGAGATAGATAAACAAATTTCCAAACTGGGCATTACTTTAAATACAGATGATTTAACACCTACTGTGATGTACAGGACCTAATGCTCAAGGGCAAGGCTCAGATTGTTAAAAATTCTAAATTATAGAATCTGCATTGACAAAAATGGAAGGAACAAATTCCTAAGATGCACCAATTTTGCTTTAACAAATTATCAGAAGAAAAAAAAAAAATGAAAAAAAAATCCACCCCAAAACTAACAGCTTCTTGAGAGGTGGTTAAGGGAGAGAGCTGCTTGCTTGGCAAATCACAGTTCTGACACTGAAATATATCAACTTGTCAGCTTTGACAAGAATCATTACTTAATTTTCCTAATTACAACTTTCAGCAGATTACAGTCAGACTCGTCATTGATTCAACCCTACACAGATAAATGCTGAATAGGCCTAGGAGGGAGAGTCATCCATCAGAAGTGACAAATCACCTCCTCCCTCCCTTTCTGTATGCAAACCCTCCCATCTGAACTGTGCATCGCCCAAGTTAGAAAGACATATTTGGAGACAGACTGTTGGTATTTCTTAAATTTACTAAATGCTACAAAATACAGGTATTCAACAAGGTTTAAAATCAATTTTGAAGCTGTTAAAGGGACTGCCTGCATTTCCTGAACGTAAACCCAGACAGCATATTAAATAAATTAATCTACCATAAAGACTGAGATTTGCATGTTGACATAGAGTTTGCAGATTCTCTCCCAGTAAAGTTAAGTGAGCTTCAAAGCTCTACTATTGAAATGCTGCAAATATACTAGAGATTAACTCATGATGAAAAATGGCAGTCTACCTGCTTCAACATGCAACCTATGGCATCTCTGTCATTTGCAGCAGTTGCTTTTAAACATCTACTCTCTTACAGAGAGAACATTGTATCTGAGCCTGGCTAATCAAAAGCAACTCTTTTTGGAGGAAATCAGGGCATGAACTTTGTTTGGCTAGATGAAGTCCTTTGGCCTGCATCTGGGGTGGATGGGAGAGAAGCACTTGTTTCTTTTCCCTAGGTCAGGAGTTTTTCCCTCTCCCTGTTGCAGTTGCTAGGCAGCCTGCAAAACGTCAGGATGTGAAACCTCACATTTCTTTATGCATTGTGTACTCTGATGAAGCACAGCAAGTGAAAACAAGAGAGTTTCAAAAAGAAAAAAGAAAGAGAGTCCTAAAAAGATCACTCTCTCCATCCACAGCACCATGATGATGCAACAATTGCAGATATCTGCACATGGACTCTAAAGAGTGGACACAGAGAAGCCAGGACAATGCTCAGATATCCCAAAGCAAGGGGGGAACATGTGATTGGTTTTAATGACATCATAAACTCACTGCTCAGGGACCTCCTAAAAGACTTTTTCTCCCTCCCACAATCCCTTTTCCTAAAGGGGACCTCAATGAATGAGAAACAGCAGCCTTTTGGAAGGGCAATCCTCTTCTTGCTGTTCCACTCCCTGTGTCATCAGCTTTCATGATGGTCAGAGACAGCTGTGTCTGGATTCACAAAAAGCAAACACACCCGTACTGTAGCCCATAGGATACAGCAGAAAATAGTTAGGCTATGCAGGAATCCAGCAACCTGCCCAAAATGGGCCCAGGCTAATTTCTCTGTGAGGGAACAAAATGTTATTGTGGGTAGGCTGCCTGTGCTACATTCCCTATATCCCTTTGGGAAACAATATGCCCAAAAGTGTTAATGGAAGGAGACAGAAAATTTCCTCAATGCTTTCCAAATGTGATGCAATGAGGTTCTTCCCCCTCATACCAGGCAGCTGAATTCACCAGAGCTGTCTTTAAAAGCAGCATACAGGAAGCCATTGTAAGGAACAAGAATCTGACTTTCAAATTCAGGTATATGCATGTGGAGTTCTCAAACCCCAGCAACCACTAACATGGTATGAATTATTGTTTTACTAGAAACACATTATAACCCCAAAAGGAATTTTCCATTTCAAGTTTCTGAAAGATGAGAGAGAAAACCAGTTCTGTTCTTAAGAGGATAAACTAAATGACAATCACAGTTGAAGAAATGGAGAAGGACCTGTAATTATTCCTACCTTGCCATTGCTATGCCAACAACACAACCTCCAACTATAGACCAAAATCCAATCCAGCCTGCATCCACCTGACAGGGAAAAAAACAAAACAGAACATAGAGAAATGTGTTAAAGCTCAGAAAATAAGATGGTGTTACTTTCAAAACAAGTGTTGGGCAGGAGCTCCGAACTGCTAACAAGAGCTCTCTACAATATTCTGAAGTGCAAGGCTTTTTCTGGGAAAGGAAATAAATTCACCACAAGAAAGTAAGACTAAGTAGTGTATGCCCTAAATGTGACCTCTCTTTATGGAATCTGACTAATGTCCTCTGTTTTTTTATAATACTCTATCAAAAGCTTAGAAATCATCTGCTCCCCACTTCATCTTTTCTACCATGCATAGATTATTTTCTTTCACTAGAGACGCAGCAGCCAACAATACTCCCATTTTTTTTACCTACTTCTTCCTTTTTGTTAAAAGGCATGTACAGTTCTGAAAACACTCACCACTGATGGAGAGTCAGCAGGGAGAGTTTTGACACTTTGGGATGCCAAAGCTACAGTTCATTTTGTTTAAAATTTCAGGGAGTAAAGTGGTCCATACGTATTACCAGCATGTTAAACATAAAAATCTGATAAAACTGCATGCTAGTGCAAAATAAAAACATGCCACTTACAAAACAGCTGCTGATTATCAGTCAGGAGATACTTACCTGGCTTACATGAATGGGTGTCAATATCAAATCCAGAACACCAGACCAGCCAGAGAAAACACCCAGTGGTATGGCATAGGCCAAAGCAATCATCAAGAATCGGAAATTGCTGTGAAGATAAAACGTGGCCATTAGCCTCAGCTTATATTACAAATTGCACCAAGATTAGCCAGCAGAGTAAATCACAACCTAGAATCTATATTCTGCCCATCAAAAAAACCAGCAAAGGTCTGAAGGAGGAGTGAGCCAGGGAAAACAAGAAAGGTATCCAGCCATGCCACTGAATTCCTAGTGGCTGATATGTTACCACCTTAGCACTGATAATAGAAAAAGCCAGTCTCTCCACATTGTTCAAAGATTTTTGTAACATGCTGGGCTCATATGTTTCTCATTTCTGCAAGCAATTCTTCCATGCATTGGCATGGGCAACCTACTTAGCCTAACCGTATGTTAGGAATAATAAGCACTAATTTAAAAGATTAAAAGCTTATTTCAAAAATAAAATCAGAGATTCATCCCTCTTGAACTGCACTTAAAAGATCAAAAAAACCCCAAGCCTGTTTTAATTCTCTTTATTTTGGTGAAACGCAAGGAAAGCTCTGGAAATGAGGCAGATACAGCTGCAAGAGTGGAAAATTTTGACAATTTGAACTGGCAAAAACAAGAGACAGCTATAATACTCTACTCTGAATAGTCAACATATTTGCTTCCCCCCCTCCCTCCCAATTATTCAACCTTTAGTATTCAGTGAAGGTGAAACAGTCAAAGCTGTATCATCATCTTCAATGTATAGAGCTAAATAGGAATTTAACCAACAATTTCCCCCATTCACCATAACTGAAAGCAAATGCGAAGTCCTTGCTAAGAGAAATCCAAGTTTTCCTCAAAAATGTCTCAAATGGGAAAGAAAATATACTTTGGAATCTGAAACAGTGATATTTTAAACTGAAGAGATTTTATGGTGATTCCAAGGTCAGTTATCCCATGGGGTATCTGTGTAACCCAAAACATGGCTCCCCCTGGTCAAAACAATTTACATAAAATTGATCCTGATCAGTACCAGTTCCTTGGCAAGCAGTGGCAATTTGATAGCACACAGTTACAAAAGCCAAGAGGGAGAGAGAGATTCAATTACACTCCAAAACATTTGTAAGTTTGCAGCTTATGCTGTTTTACTCCCTTAGATGCTCCACACGAAACACAAGCAGCCAGTGCTTTTTGCACTGTTCTTTTTCACACATCCTCTTCTTGAATAACACATTCCCATCCCATGAACATATCCTCCGCTTTCAATACCATTCGTGTCAGATTTATCTTTTAATGCAAAGAAAAACAACCCTCAAACTTTCAGCTCTTCTATACACTAGTTATATTTCTTTGAATGCTACTGTCTTCCTAACAACTTTTCTCCTTTTTTAAGAATGCCATACTCTTATCCTAGTCTATCTTGCATCACCTTGGCATTTGATGCTATTTAATACTATCCATGTGAAAGCCATTTCAACATTTGTCAAATAAAATAAAAGGGAATTTTGCATGGACCTCATAGAGCCATATTGTAGATTGCTAAGAGGAAACAAGTCTGAATGCAGCGTTCTGAAATAACACTTGCTGAATATTAAAAATCTTTGGCTATCTGGACCTCAACTTCATTATTGAGCTACTTTTGAGGGAGAATTTTGTCCTTTACTTGAGCAGTGTTTTCTGTGGTGTATTTGTTTTCTGTCACTCAAGCAACCAGACAGCCTGAGATGCGGGATAGCTGTTCTGTGCCACATCCAACCCCAAGTACCAATCCTACAGTAAGAGCTCTGCATGATGACAATCTCCAGGGACAGAGCCTGCTCCCCTGCCTGGTCTCCACAACAAGGAAGGTGACCAGGAGAAAGGGAGCCTGGCAGTGACAGAGATACTGATCACCAGGTGTCATTCTGCCCCCTTGCCCAGCAATACCTCGTGCTGCCTAAAGCCATTCCAAACACACATCTTCAGTAGCAGCTCCACTTTTCATGGCTCCAGTCACTTGTGCACAGCTTTTGCAATTTTGCAATTGCTCCACAGAAAGTAGAAAAATGTGCTGTCTGTCACACCATCAGCTGTTGAACCCACACTGTTTTCCATCCTATCAGCAATGACAGGATATCAGAATTAGCTTCCCTGTTAAACCATTCTGCTGGGATATGAATTGATTTTTTATTCTGGTTTTTTCAGAAACCAAACGCCACTAGAATCTGCAAGACAGGCTGGTTCAGAGGGGAGCCCCATCAAAGTCAGTCATCTTTTTCAGAGTAACTTTGACAGTGCCTATTAACATCAGGCACATTCTGAGCAGCTTCCATTACTGGACGATGTTGTTGATGAAAGTGTCATTAAAGCAATAATGATGCATAAAACTCCTGATACAAAATTTCAAAATTGCTTACATAGTCCCTAGAAAACATAAAAGCCATGTAACTGGCTAAAAGTATCTTGTTACTTCAAATCAAAAAGCACAACACTTTTTTTAATGCAGGTTTTAAGACTTATCAACCATTTACTTGTATTAGATTTTTTTTTTCATTGAAGTTTGTGGAATATCCTGAACTGGGGAAATAAAAACAAGTCATATTTGCTTCACCCAAGAAACTGAGACAGGGCACCACACATTTTCTAATGGAAATTCAAACTACACTTGTCACAGTGTGTGATAGACTGTTAAAAGATTTGGGCTTAGCTCCCAAACCATGACCAATCTGTTGTCTCCCACTGCAGACTGAGAGAGTTGGTATCAGGACATAATGAGACATCAACTAATTGTAACAATCTGTCAGAAGGAGGAACCCTCCAAATCAGAAGGAAGACTCAAGTTCCTAAGAAAGTCCCCCAAAAAGGGCCCACAGGGGATGGCTGACCTCTGCTGCTGGTGTAATAACTCTGCAAGAAGCAGCTCACGTAGAAGACTGCCAAAGGACCTGAAGGCATGAAAGAGTGTGGGAGTTGCAAGGATGTGATAGATCCCCTTGGTATCCAAGGAGAAAAGGTCAGTGACTTCAATGTTGCTTTATTGCGAAGTAATAAAACTGTAGCTTGGTGGAGAAGACAGAGAAATGATGAACATCTCAATTCTCATGTTTGTATCTGGTGCATTGCTGGGTCAGCCCACCAGCTCACACACATCCTGAATGCCTCACACACAGTTCTCACACCAAAGGGTAATTCTATAATAAAAGGAAATCATGATTTCCTGGTACTCATCTGCTGGTTACCTTCAGTCTATACCACCAAGTCTAAAGAAAGGCTCTCTAAGCCAAGATGAAGCCTAGATTAGGCAGGCAACAGAGCTCAGAAGCCAAACGAACCAGATGATGGATTCCTTCTGAAGCATGGCAGATACCATTTTCTTTTATAAAACTCCCTTGCATGACAGATTGTTACTGAACAGCTCCCCAAGATAAGTGGGCTTAATGATGAACTGTTGATTGTTTCATGTGCAGAGGAATGAAGAAGTGCCTTTGATAAAGGGTAGCATGGAAGAATGCGAGACCCGAGGGAAGAGAGCTATAATTATCTACCTGTCCACAGTTTAAAAAAGCCCTCTTTGTTCTTGGAGACACTGTAAACTATAGTCATCACTGAAAAGTCCAGTTTGTTTTCTGAAGTTTCACTGGTTATTAACACTAAGCCAGCTTTGCTGTTTACATCATGACCTTACCAGTATCTCAGGTCCACTGTTTACAACACTTTAAACACGGAATCTAATGGTTATAAAACTCCCAAATGGAGCACTGTCAACTAAAATTTTATATTTCACCTGCAAAGCCAGTTGCTGTTTGGATTTCTGTTCAACAGCAACATTTTTACAACACAGCCCTCAGGCAGGGTCTAACGGCACATCAGCTTGGGTGCAGAACAGCACTACTGTGTGTGATAAGTGTCCTTAAGAGAACTGCTATTTTTTAATACCCTGAATAGGTCACTTAGCAGACTAACCACCCAGCTGTACTCACACCTCCTGAGTGCCAGCCTGCTCCAGGATGAACACACAGGATTAAGCATCCTGCCAACTATTTACTCCCCCAAACAAAAAAAAAAAGCCTCCAAAACCAGAACAAAACCCAGTGACAAGGGATGAGTTGTTTTCACTGCCTCTAAATACAATTATTGAAAGTACAGCCCACAATAGGCCTGCAGTAACTAAATGTCTAAAGCTGCACAATTATCGAGCTTCAAGCAACCCTTTATATGCAGATTCAGCTCCTACATCACTCAACAAACAATTACAGCAAGAGTCAGAAGCTTCCCAGTGAAGTCAGTCATACTCTGTACCAGGGGAGAGCTCTTCTTTGCCCCAGAAGTTCCTCTGTGCAGTATCATCTACAGGGCATGGCCTTCACAATTATTCACCCTTAATATTACAGTTGCTTTAGCTGCTCCTCTCAGATCATATTTACATTACACAAGACACTGTACAAACACTGGGGGAAGTGGGACTGTGTCTTACAAAAAGAACCCAAGAGGGAGAAGCTGCAATAATGTCTCTTTCTTTATAACCTCTCTCTTTATTTAACCTAAAAATTCAAAGCAAGCTAGCTCACCTTTGAGCCTATCCAGAAACACATCTAAAGACATTTTTCCTATTCCCGCTTAATATTTTAACATACAATTAATGAGATTTAATAGATCATATAACAGTTTTAGATAGTTCATTTATTGCTTCCATGGTTGAATGAAAGCAGCTGAATAATCCTCCAAAAGACAAGTAAACCCCAAATTCATTCCAAAATAATAAGCACAGAGAAAACCAACGTAGAAATTATTTTTGCCCAGTGTTGTTCACTGTTTTCTCACTGCTCACTTTTAACAATCTTGTGTAACCTGATGTAACAGAAGCATTGCATAAGAAAAGCCATGCTAACAGGATGACTAAAGCACTGCTGGTGCTGAAGGACTGGCATGAAGAATGGAGATACACACAGTGGTTTAAAATTTAATGTCTGCTCTTTAGCAGTTAGCATCCTTTTATGTCTTGACATTAATATTTAATTTTATTTTGTTTAAAAGTACTACAAACCAACTTGTTTGCTCAATGAGAAGATTAAAGCACACTTGTTTTTATTTACTTAGGCACTGATCTGCTTTGAAGTGGAAACCCAATGAGGTCCTACCTTAAGAGTCTGCAAAAACTTCTCCTGTAGCTGAGGCGCTGGCTCGCTGCAGCCACGCTGGGGGGGAACGGAGGGCGCGAGGGGAAGTAGGCCAACGCTGCAGAAAATATCAGGGAAACCATTCCAAATTCTAAACAGGAGGGCAAAGAAAAACAAAACCAAGAACAGATGTTAGCATTGAAAGACTTATTTCACTGCAGTGCTGTTATCAGCCAGCCTCTGAGACATAAATCCCATCACAAGTGTTTGACTGCTCCTGACAACAGAATTTCGTAACTTGAAGGAGGAATTTCTTTCTCCTTCCCCAAACAAGATTTCAAATTGAGATGGAGAATCAGTGAGACTGGCAGTCCATTCCAGTGATAGGTGCTGCAGAGAACAAGGCTCACACACAGGGAACTCGGCAAAAGGAAAGCTTTTGCTTTTTCTCTTCAGAGAGAACTGCAATATGAGGATTTGGCCACATTTCCTTTCGATGAAGTAGCTCAGTGCAGGTAACAGCATGCCAGAGACTTGAAACAGATGGGACTGGGGAAGCCCCAGGGCATGGAATAACAATTATTCATTGCACAAGATGATGAAGGCAAACAAAAGGTCAAGCAAGGCAGCAGTTCCAACACAAACAGTACTACATGGCAACAGAATATAGAGAGCAAAGTGCAGAAGCAGCCATGGATCATGAATAGAAAAGGTGCAGGTAAGAGGGGGAAAAAGAAAGAATACAGCTGTTTGTGGATGCTCTGCTTGTTTAGCAGCAGGAATTCCAAATCTTTGAAAAATTTCATAGCAGAAGTTTGAACCTGAGCTTGAGAAGTGATGAGCACTTCACAGAAAACAGTAAGTCCCATGAGCAGACATTCTGAAGAGAAAAAACTCTACCCACAGTCAGTCTAATTAATTTGTTTTACAGGGCTTTTACAATATATACCATGTTCTCCACAGTCCTCAATCCCAGTATTTCTCCTATTGCCTTTGAAAACAAGATTCTTTGCTGATAGAGAGAAAAATGTATAGCTGAAGTGTGTTATCTTAAAAGAACTTGTGATCTTATAACAAAGGAGTGTTCACTGACAGCACAAATAAATTCCAGCAGAGCTGGATACTCAATTGCCTTAATTTTCTTTTTTTCTTCTCTTTTTTAATAAATCAATATGAACATGGCACTTTGCCAGGTCTTCTCCTAAACTAGAAGAAAATAAATTCAGGAAACTGAAAAGTAAATAACACTCAGAGTCTAAATGGATCAGCTGGAGATGGAGAAGGGAAATGAATGCTTCCATTTGGCATATGGGAAAAAAGGCATATCGGGAGTGTGACAATGCCATTTTTCATCATCAAATACTAAAGGACTCATTTTGAATTACTTGGTGTCTCTTTTCCTGCTGTGGTGTAACTGCATGTTTCAAGGGCCAAGGGCACTTAAACTAGATCTTACTCCTCTGCTCTTCAGAAAACAGATTAATTTCTATCTTTGTGCACATTGTTTTGGACACCATGATCACTGAATAAAGACCTGGCAGCAACTGATCACCCCAGACCTAAGAAAGGGATGAGATGCTCTGTCACTACAGGATGATTCTACACAGCTCTTTATGTTTATCTCCCCACCTCCTGCCTCTAGTTTACATACAGGTTTATAGACATATATATTACACACATTTTAATCACATATTAAAGGAAGATTTAAGATTGCAGATAGGTATAGCCAATAAAGAATGTGATCACACAATCCCATCAATTTTGTCCAAGGTACTAAAGTGCCCTTCTCATACTGCAAGGGAAAAGGCCAAGTTTTATTCTGCAGAATGACAGAAATATTTAAATCACAGAAATATTTCATAACAGGTGCCCATCTGGGGTCTCATCTATGCACTGCTTCAAGATTTCTACCACTCAAATTGCTGTAGTAGGAGCAGTACAGTAACCTTTTTCTTTTTCTGCCTTTTCTTTTTTTTAATTACTAAGTTCAGGATGCTGTCCAGGATGCTGTCCTTGCAGTACCTTCTTGCAACGCTTTAATGTTTCCCAGTGTTATACTTTGCAGGCTAACAAATTTGCCTAGATAGCTCTGCTCTATGCCTAAATGAAAAGTGACAAATTCACAGTCACAAATTCACAGGAAACAAAAGCATCTCCCTCTGTTGAAGAATATGAGTTTTTAGGGCCATCTTAGCTTTGTATACAGTACTTACACCTCTACCTAAAGTCCAGGTACTGCCAAACACATCTGATTTCTTACATATTGAAATCTTACCTCAACAGGAAACCCACACCTTTATTTCCATAATTTAATTTAGCAGAGTAGAGGAAGAGGAATACAGTCTAAAATTTTTCCTGGGCAGGTGAGTGAAAGAGTGAGTGAAAGTAAGCAAAATTGAGAAGGTAAGAAATAGGTCAATGCTGAGGACGAGGGAGCTGCAGTCACAAGAGAGAGGCTCTTCTTTAGAAGCTGGCAGCTTCTCAAAAGTGCAATGGATGCTTGCAAACAAGGCAAAGCACATTAAATGGGGCAACTCATAAATTAGTGTGCAGAGACACAGATATGTACACATCTGTGTACTTGTTGAGGAATGCTTCACAAAAGCTGGGTACCACACCATAGTGACTTGTGATGTGAGAGATGCCTGCATCTCAGCCTAGGAAGCAGGCACCATGATGCTTGTGTAAAAAAAAAAAGAAAAGAAAAACAAAGAAAGAAAGGAAAAAAAATTAAAAAAAAAAATAAAGAGGTTCAAGACTCCTTGATAACAAAGTATTTTTCTATTTTTCCTTCAGACGGGCTACTCATAGCACAAAAACCTTTTCAATTCCAGAAACTCTCCTCCCCACCTTGTTCTGTGGGAATATTCCAGGGTGCATGAGGGCTCCTTACACACACACCATTTTTTTTTTTTTAACAAATAATAATTTTACATTGATATTTAGGAAAGTACAAGGCTAAAAGCTCTGGCTGCAGTCTGGAATAATTAATTTCCTTACACAATTCAGGTAATACAATTCAATCCTGATTTGCTACACCCATACTACTTGAGCTGTGAACCAGAATGTGCAGCAACACAGACGAGACAGAAAGAGGCTGTGGCAATTCAGCTGAGCTCTGAGTCCATGTTTGAGCTAAAGGAACAGCAATTTATTAAAACACAGAAGAGACTGGAGTTAACAGATCAATTTCAGAATGTGTTTATAAGCAATTGCTTCATAATCATGTTTGAGCTTAAGTCCTTGGAAAATCTGCACACTGTTGGCACACTACTGATCCCAAGTCAACAATTCACAGCATTACTGTCTTTTAAGACATCATCTAACTTTTGGAGGCTGCTTATTTAATGCTAGCTCACACAAAAGCAACAGGCTCATTAGAAATGCAGAGTGCTTACCCTGTGAAACTGGCTTTCCCATAGTATCTGAAAGAACAAGTCATACCAAACCTGACCACACTGGCTGAAGAAGTGGGGAAGTGGGACATTTGGGTCCAGCTTCTTGCTCTTCTACATTCTGCAAAACCTTTACTTCTAATCTGTGAAGTCAGTTTGAGCCTAGTTTTCTGCACAGCTGTTTAAGGGGACAAATAGTACCCTACCACACCTACCAAGTATTTTTTGTCCCACAGGTGAACAGAGCTGTCTGTTCACTGTTACCCACTATGGAGCAGCTGTCCTTCCACCTCTGGACCCCATGTGGCACAGGAGAGCACAGGGAAGCAGTCAGAGGAACCTTGTGCCTTCAGCTCTCCAGGGAAACAGAGTTAAGCTGAGACAGAACAAATCTCATGAGGGATTCAAAGCAAACTCCTCTTTGACAGTTCTTAGCAATTTTAAACCAGTTGGAGGTTTTCCATCATTACTGTGATTCACTGCAGGCCAGCTATGTTCACAAAGCAGCTCTCTGTCATTGTCTGAACAGCTACAGGGTTTGCAGCTCCTGAAAATACACATCCCATAGGACACAAACACCAGCACAAAGACACTATCTCTGTTCAAAGCACGTTCAAATACTAAGTGAGAAATACAGATGCCTCACAAAACACAATTCCTAGGAAGCTGAAGAATCATTGCCTGCTGTAGAATCATTGCCTGCTGGGACCAGAGATCCCAAACAGGACTACAAGGGTGTTCCCACATCCTTGCCAGCTCAGAAAGGTAGAAAGAGCCATACTGAGGTGTGAGGCAGGCAAGACCTGAACCTTGGTGGCAACATCCATCCCTGTTTCTGAGGAAAATGCTTGGGAAAACCTCCCGAAAGAGAACAGAAGAGAATGTGAATCTGATGCACTGCTGAAGGCAACATTTCTACTGCTACCAGACTCAAAACAGTGGTTTCAAGCACAGCACGGTATTTCCTTAGGCAGATGAATTCTTCCCTCTCCATGTAAAATCTGCAGAGGGAGAGCTACAGCACTTCTCTAATTGCTATGGTTTTCCTCTCCTTATCTACTGCTCCTCAGGACAAAACCCAACGTGCTTTCGTTTTTCCTTCTTTCACACCAGACATTTTCATCTGCCAGGAGATTTTCAGAGCCTAACACCTGTGAAAAAGGTTTACTTGTGAAAAAGGCTTAGCTAAACCTGAATTTGCTTGTTGTTCCATTTGAGTCCAGTAAAAAGTAGCTTACTCAAAAATACTTGCTGAAGTCATGATCCAAATTCTATTACACTTTCTTTAAAACAAACATTAAAGTGGCCCCCGCCCAACAGGAATATTAACTTGACAAATTTCCATAAGGATAACGTCCAGGAATAAATGATCACAAACAGCTAACTCAATCCACTAAACTTCCACATAAACTACACAGTATATATATGTTTGGACTTCTGGAACACTTAGGACTAACTCCTGGCTGGATTTCAGAGGATGCAATTGTAAGAGGGGAAAACCCCTATCAGATGCAATTCTTAAATGCTGTACCAAATTATATTCACTAAAAATTAGAATGTAGACACTTTAGCCACTTAACCAATTCTATTTCCTTAAAGTTTGCTTCTAATTTTTTTGAGTGACAGGAAGAGGCATAGAAACCATTGTAATAAAAAGAGCAAGGATAAAAAACCCAAGTTCTATCAGGAGAATTTTATATCAGTGATTTTTTCCACTAAACTGTTGTCACTTCATTGAAACTGCTCACCAGTAAGAATTACGTGGTTTTAGCTAAAACCAAAATCTATCATGTTTTAATTTCAATGTTTCTGATTCTGTGGATTCTGAAATACTAATTATCTAATCACATTTGAAAGGCACATGCAGGTCATAAATTAAGGCTCAGTTAATGCAGAATAGAATTTCATGCTAAAAGACTACTGAATTTCCATCCTTGCAGAAACAGTAGTAGAAACCCAACTTGTCATGGAAACAAATTTTTAATGAAAATTCAATAAGCAAAAACCAGTTTTGAAGCTCAGGGAAACTCCAAGAAGACATTTCTCCCAAGATCAGCCGATACAAACAACCGAACTACTTCTTTTCAACTCAGTCTGTACAAAAGGCTATTAAAAAAATTAATCCTCCTGACTCAATTAACTTCCCCAAGGCACAGACTAGATCCTGTGCAAACCAGCCACTAGAGGGTAGCGGTTCTCAAGCACCAACACACAGGACAGCACGAACACTTTGTGTTTAGTCTCACCTGCATAGAGCACGGCCTCGATGCGGTCCTTGATGTGCTGGGTGTTGGAGGGCGCTCCCAGCTGCGCCGTCCCGTTGGGCGGCGGCACCACCAGCGGCCCCACCAGGAAGGCGGCGGCCGAGCCCAGGTAGTTGAGCAGCGAGGCGATGGCCGTGGCCGTGGCGCGCTCGTCCGGGGAGAACCAGGTGGTGGAGAGGAAGGGAGCGGCGTTCATCACCGTGGGGCCCGCCAGCCCGTTCAGCAGCTGCCCGCCGTGGACCAGCCTGCGAGACAGAACACACGGCACTGAGAACCGCTCGCTGGGGTTTGGGAATTAAATCGGCACGGTTTACACGTTTTTCACAGAGGTACTGTGAAAAACGCCAACCACTCGTTTTAAAAAATTTAAAAGTTTAATTGTCGGGATCTTTAGCTTGTCAGAGTGACCCCGAGAAAAGTTAGAAAGTCTCTTTTCCCAGCCCGGCACTTGAAGAAGGAGTCAGAGCTCTTCATTTCTCGGTCTCAGGGTTGTTCATTGTATCTTATCTATAAAATTCTTTCTCCTGTCCTGCCGAGGTCCATCCAGCAGGACAGTTCCAGGCACTCTGCCTGCCCCGGGGCACTGTTATGTCTTTATACTAAAAACTATGTATACAATGTTTACAATTACTTTCCAATACCTATAACCTGTGTTAGACAGTGAGCTTCTACTCTAAACCAATCTGTAAGTGCCAAAATCACAGCAGAAGATGGAGGCCAAAAAGAAGAAGAAGGAGAAAGGCTGGACATGCCCAGTTCCCTCCATCTTGCCCCCTGAACCCCTATACCAAAAACCCCAAAATCTACTTTTCCACCCTGTGATAACTTCACTATTATTCTACCTAAACTGTTGTGGCTTGCTGATCTTCATATAAGGTTGGTAATTTGCTCCATAATCAAAACCACAGGAATTTTGGGCTCTGTGCCAGGGTCTCTGAGACCCCTGGCAGGGGTCTTGGCTGCTCAGGACAGCCAGAGGGATGTTCTGGGTTCCAACATTTAATAGTAATAAAATGGTTATAAAAATAGTAATATGATTAGAGTAATAACAATTTGGACAATTTGGACTAGGACAATATGAGACAATAGAAACAAAGAGTTACAGACGTCTGGGTACCTTTTTCTGGGCAGCAAAATCCCAGAAAAGGACACCATTAACAGAGGATTAACCCTTAAAAACAATAGCCTGTGGCATATTCATACATCTCATACATGATGCATAAATTCCATTTAAACACAGGATTCTGTCTGGTCAGTGTCAACTTCTTCCTCTTAATCCTAACGGCGTCAGGGCTGAGCGAGGCAGGAAGAAGTTCATTTCTTCTGATAAGAAAGCAATAAATTCCTTTTCTCTGAAAGATTTAGGTGTCCTGTAGCAACTATCTCACTGGAAGTCCTTTAAAAAAAGTATCTTACATAGCATAGTTTCTATTTTAACATTATAACCTAAAACTATATTTAACACACTACTTAAGAAAATTAATACAGCATAACTTTCTAACATAACACATATAATATTCATTTTAATATTTGAGAAAAGCCAATCATAAAATACACATTTTTCACAGGTAACTAGTGCTGGAAATGGAGCTGCTGCACAAAGAAATGAAAGGCCTGTGCAAAAGAAGGATATTCTATCCACCAAAAGAAGCCAAATTAGATTGATTTAAAGAATCCAGAGCTACTGTGATCTCATCACCTCATATAAAAGGAGAAGCAAATGTTCTCTTCAAAGCAGAAAAGGAAAAGGGAATAAAAGGAACTTTCTTTGCAGCAAAAAGGTATCATGACAGGATATAAAAGTAGAAAAGGTGCAATAGCAGAAAAGCTTTAAATTATAAACATTGTAAACCTGACCCTCCTGCCTGCATACATCCCAACGGAAGATTTAAATTAGTTATGGCAAATCCAAAATTGAAACACTTCAGCAAAATACTCTGCATATTTGCATATTTTTTCACTGCATTATTTATTTTTATTTACACACACAGATGAGCTCTATGTGCCTACAGATGAGAAGGCTGGGCTGTTAGGGTTTCCAAGAGAGTCGTCTTCTGCAGCAATCTGGCCATTCTCAACACACTGCTGAAACAGCCAAGTAAACCCAGATTTTTCTCATTTTTCACACTCATTGGGATTTAACAGATAAGGCTGGTGACAGAACAGAGATAGTACTTCCAAGCAGTGAAGTCTCTGCAAAGTTTGGCTTAATAGTAGTACAATGAACAAATACAAAAAGGACTTTTTGAAGGCTCTCCTACCTGCAGAATTCAGTCAGAAATCTTCCACTTTGACTTTTTCAAAAAGTAATCAGCCATAGAATGCAAAACTATTTCAGAACTTATATAAAAACTTCATGCCTAAAAAACAGCTAGAGTCACATGAGATACTGCAACTCTCCAAAGTAAATCTATTCATTGTGCAATAAAGTGGGGGCAGATGATATTTTCAAATGGGTGGTGTTTTTTTAACCATAGCAGGAACTCAGTGTTATTGCTGCAAGACTTGAGTTGTGAGACATAAAAAGCTCCGGCTTGAAAATGGGGAAACATAAGCCAGCATTTAGGCAGGGTTTCAAGCCACAAATGGCTGCATAATATACAGTATGGCAGGAGTTCTTAAAGCACACAAAGGAACACAATATGCAAAAGAAATGCCTACAGACTCTTTATAGAATTAACAAGATTGATTGCAATAGAAAGGAATAGAAGCTACTGATTCTCAGTGGATTGGAAATTAAATTTTTAAACAAAATTTATAAAAAACATCCAAAAAAAAAGCATTATTATATATCGTCTAAAGGAAACTCTTTCTGAGCTGGGACAGAAATAATATCCACTTTTACTTACAAGCAATTCACTGTTTTTGGAGGTTTTTTAATGCTCACACAGAAATGACAAATTTCATTACTAGTGTTGATAATGTGCTTCAGATGGACACCACCAAGGCATGGTCAGGCCTTGTCAATGCTTGTTAAACTCTCACACATGCTAATCCAAAATGAAATGGTTTTAAATAAAGAAAAAGTACTATATAAACAATGCTCTGGTATTTTTCTGGAGGACATATTACATCAATACCCCATGGTTACTCTCCAGTATATTTGGGACAAACCAAGGTATCCTTGTGCACTTTGGTATTTTCATTCTACTTATCTCACTGTAGTTATTCTCAAACTTTAAAATGTTCCAGGCTATTTGCAGAGCTACAGCACATCCCCAGAAACAACTGCATTTCAGTAGCAAGTAAGGTAACTACTGCAACATATAATGATTTTATTTTAGTATTTCCTCCTGTTCCAAAGTGAATTTAATGCTTAAATGATGTACTTCTTACTGTATGTTTGGAAAACTGTGTCACCATTTATAGCTTTAGGTGTACTACCACTTCTTTCACTGACACCACTCTGGTGTTATTGTTTTAATCCAAATATGCCTCCTCTGTAGTCATCCTAAAGGCAAATAAAACTCAGTAAAATCAGAAAAGAGTACAATAGTTTTGCAGAATCTGTGGTCATGTAGGCACTTCATCTGACAGAAGAAGAAAAGTTTTGTAAAAAAACCTCTAAATAAACCATCAGACAAAAGCCCCAGTTTATGTATTTTGAAGATTACACACACATTTTCCTACCGTGTACTTCAGATTTAGATTATGTCTATCAAACTCCATCATCTGAATAAAGCTCTATAACAAATCTTACACTCAAAGGGAGCAATAAATGTTAATTTTACTTTGCAGATCCCAAGGGATAAAGTAGCAACTTAATCCAGTATTTAAATTCTATATTAGCCTTTGTCTTTGTGGTTTTGGATTTGTTGGTTTGGTTTTTTTCAGAGGGTGAGCCAATTTTGCCTCTCTCCAAGTGTCTTCTGTTGGTGTTTTCCTGGCTGCTCTCTCTCCAGCCTTGTCCTGGCTGGTGTGCTCTGTTCACAGATTTGCATTTTTGGCATTTACCAAGCCTGACATTATCATCCAGGGCAGAGCATCTCTTATCTTCATATTTTTTAATTTTTCAAGTCCAACATATTTGAGTTAATAAACACTATTTTCAGACCAAATTGCCATCAATATACAGACTACTACCTCAAGTATATCTGCATATGATAACAGCTTAAACCCTATTTTATCTCTTTTTCAATACTGACTTGAATTAAGCTACTCTTTCCTGAGAAAATGATTATTTGCATGGTTCTTCTGCACATCCTTAACTCACTTCCCCAGAGAGGCAGGGATGAGAGATTCCAAATGCAATTCAGAGCATTTACTAAGCTGCTGCTGTGGGAGATGTATGTAGCAGCTGCTCCACCTGACAGAGAAATATGAACATAACAGTATTGGTGGCTTTTTGCTGTTTGTTACAACATCTTATCAGCACTGCACTAGAATCTGGTCTCACAGCCTGTGAGTCTCCTCTCATATACCATCAGTGCTAAAAATTGCCCCAAGACCAAGAGAGGTTTGTTTCTGTTATCCCCTGATTTTCTTCTTGTTTCTGCTACTGCAAAGGTGCAAAGAGGAGCTGCCTTTTCCCCATCACTATTCCAATTTCATACTGCACAAGTTTTCTCTTTCCTGAGGAAAGGGATGAAAAGATAACTTTAGCTCAGGATCTTACCCAGATGGAAAAACATTTCTCAGTCTCATTGCACTATCAAGTGTAATGTTCATCTGTTATTTTCCCGGTGCTGTTTTCAGATGTGTTATTTATCCAATCATAATTTAATTATTTTCATGTATGGAAAAGTAGAAAGCTATTGAGGTCAAATGACAGGAAATAACATGAGCAGAAGGCTTCTTAATCATAATAATGAAAGAGAAAATTGGAAAAAAGTTACACCAGAAATTCATTCTCAACTTACAAAATAATTGATGACTGTAGCTTAAAGCAAAATTGGGGAAGTAAACATCTATCTAAAATATTTTGTTACTGTCTGAGTGACCAGGTCAGGACTCATTTTGATATGTCAAGGTTTTTGACATCTGACCTCCCTGCTAATGAATTTATGTGCTCTGCCAAACTTGTAATTTGCAATTGAACCTGAGCCCTTTATGAGCCCTTATAAAGAAAAAAAATAATAATTTGAGGAATTATGGTAAATGGTAGTGTGAAATATCACAAGGCAGAACATCACAGTAATGAGTAACTTACATATTTACATTATGTATCTATCTAAGAAAATAAACATATGGGCACACATACACACTTTTGCACAAAATAAAGATCACTTCTGTTCCTAACTGGCCT